TGGCCTCCTGTTACTCATACTCCAGGAGAAGACGACGTCTTGTCACGGGGACGGTAGTCACGGTGTTCCGCTACACCTGATTTACTCTCTAAAATGTGTGCTTGAAGCTGGGCCACGATGTGAAAGGGGCCACTCTCTGCCTCTGTGGCACAGGAGGGGCAGAGGCCGTGTGCTCCCCAGGGGCCTGCGAGGTGCGGTCACCCACCCGGCACATGGAGAGCCCTGCCTCTGCTGCACACAGTCATGGACCGTGGCGCCCTCTGCACGCAGCACATGCTCACAGACAGAAAGTAGACGGGCATCGCTCACACCTGTGCACTGGCTCACGTTACTTGTGAAGAACCTAGAGAGGTCTCATCGCAAGCTCCAGCGAGCGGAGTACGGCGAGCCCTTCGGGTGGCTGTCCGCGTCTGTGATGTCAAGGGAAACTGGTTTGTCTTTGATCACATCATCACAGTACCCTAAGGTTTCCCACCAAAGACTGTGTTCGTCGGGAATCGTGGTGAAGTCTTTGAGACGCGGGAAGCACCTGCAGGAGGCTCAGAGACTCACCTGAGGGCAGACGAAGTCAGGCTGCTGGCTATTTCCTGTGAGGGAAGAAATGACTGTTCACGACAGGAAGCAAGATGGAGTGGTCAACCTCGAGCTTATTGTTAAACAAAACGACATTGGTTATTACCGATTTGGAGCAAACGTCCTCAGGGTCCCGGGGCCAGGGAAGGGGTCTGTGGGGGAGCGCACTCCACAGCCAGTGTCCACACTGGCCAAGGGGCCCGCTCAGGACCGGTATGTGTCACACGCAGCCACCGGGCGGCCCTGACTTCTGTGGCAGATCTGCACGCGGGCAGCGGCCAGGACCAAGGCGCACAGAGGAGGGGCCGCCTGAGGACTCGGAGAGCTGAGGGGAGACGCCCCAGGAGAATCTGACCTTGACAGCACCTGGGTCTCCGGGAAGTCAATACCTAAGTACGGTATTATTATTTTTTTAATTTTATTTTTTATTTTTTAAAATTTACATCCAAATTAGCATATAGCGCAACAATGATTTCAGGAGTAGATTCCTTAGTGCCGCTTACCCATTTAGCCCATCCCCCCCTCCCACAACCCCTCCCATAACCCTCTGTTTGTTCTCCATATTTATGAGTCTCTTCTGTTTTGTCCCCCTCCGTTTTTATATTATTTTTGCTTCCCTTGTGTTCATCTGCTTTGTCTCTTAAAGTCCTCATATGAGTGAAGTCCTATGATTTTTGTCTTTCTCTAATTTCACTTAGCATAATACCCTCCAGTTCCATCCACGTAGTTGCAAATGGCAAGATTTCATTCTTTTTGATTGCCGAGTAATACTCCATTGTATATACCACATTTTCTTTATCCATTCATCCATCGAGGGACATTTGGGCTCTTTCCATACTTTGGCTATTGTTGATAGTGCTGCTATAAACATTGGGGTGCATGTGTCCCTTTGAAGCAGCACACCTGTCTCCCCTGGATAAATACCTAGTAGTGCAATTGCTGGGTCATAGGGTAGTTCTAGTTTTAGCTTTTTGAGGAACCTCCATACCATTTTCCCGAGTGGCTGCACCAGCTTGCATTCCCAGTATGGTGTTATTTTTACTTCACGATGGATATCCGGTTGTTCCAGGACCATTTGTTGAAATTTTCACTTCTCCCCAAAGGATTGCCTTGGCCATAAATGTGAAGGCTTATTTCTAGAATTTTTATTCTATTCCATTTCTATTCCATTGACTACACTAACCTGATTACTATAGCTTTTTAGTAAATTTTGAAGTCAGATTGTATAATTCTTCCAGTTTTGTTCTCTTTTCAAAATTGTTCTGGCTACTCTAGGTACTCTGAATTTCCATGTACATTTTATGATCAGCTTGTTGGTTAAAAAACAAAACAAAACAACAACAACAACAACAACAACAAAAAACAAAAGAGAACCTCCTAGGAATTCAATAGGGATTGTACTATGTCCATAGATCAGTTTTGGGGGAAATTCTATCTTAACAATATTGAGTGTTCCAATCCATGAACGTTGTATATCTTTCCATTTATTTTAAATGTCTTCAGTTTCTCTCAGCAATGACTTATAACTTTCAATGTATAGACTTTACTACAGTTTCGTTAAATTCATTATTGTTAATGCTATTGTTAATAAAATAACTAATATTATTTTCAGTGGCATTTTTGCCAAATACAGAAATATGATTGGATTTGCTATTTTTTTAACAATACAAAGTCAAAAGAGATTTATTTTTTACAGTTTCCATTCCAGATAATGGCAAATTACATAAAACATTTCTAGGTCAGCCAAGGCAATGGAGAAACTTTTACTTTGACCATGCTGAGGCAATTTGCTGTGGAGCTAGCTGGAGGCACACAGAGGTTCCTGACACCAGGTAGGGACTGTATTTGATTTCAGGTGTGCTCTGGATAACACTGAAGATAAATGTCCCAGAGCTTACTGGAGAGCACTTTACCTGCTTCTTGAAAAGCTATTTTATTACTAGTAGTTTTGTTTTTTGTTTTGTTTGTATCTTAGAATCATGTTGTCTGTGATCAACACAGTTTCACTTTCTATTCTTTATTCCTTTTTCTTGTCTTATTGCACCAGCTGGAACTTCAGTACATCCTTGCCTTATTCCCGGTTTTAAGACGTACTCAGTCTTTCACCAGGAAGTATGTTAGTTGTATTTCATAGGTGTATTGCATAGGTCAGAATGAAGATCTTTTCATTTCATTCCTAATTTGTTGAGACTATTTTTTTGTCACACATGAGAGTTTCTTATTGGCAAGTCCCTTTCTGAATTGACAGTGCCATATTATTGTCATTTTCTGTTGGTATTTTGTATAATGTCAATTAATTTTCACATAGCCATGGTACTTAATCCTGTGTGCTGCTAGATTTGGTTTGCTAACACTTAATGGTTTCTGTCTGTGTTTTCTTGAAGGATTTTGCCTCATGGTATTCTTTTGGGATGACATTGTCTGGCTTTGGTATCAGGTTGGAACTGGCCTCACAGAACAGGTCTCCCTTCTTCTATATTCTGAGAGGGTTTGTGTCATTATTTTTTAAAAATTCGGTAGAATTCGACAGTGTTGGTAATTTGTGTAAATTGGCTGGAAAGGTAACTACCTTTCTTAAGTGAGAAATGCATTTTTCAACACTGGAAGATTTAGAATGAAGTATACAAATGTTTAAAAGCCCCAGACCCCATGCTGTTACTATGTGGCACTAGAAAGCCATATGACCATATCTGGCATATACAGTTTTGAAAGCAGAAGAAAATGTATCCTCAGGGGTGTGGGGTGGGGAGGGTTTAAGCCGGTGGGGTCCTAAAGCTCCACGCACACCAAGAGGCGAGCCCGGCCATCAAAGTGGGATGATTATCTGTCTCAGACAATCCACAGAGGGATTAAACGTGATGATGGATGACAAGTGTCCAGCAGAGTGACAACGAACGGTCACAGCTTCCTTGGATTCCTGAGACAGGATCGGAATGAGGTGGCCCTGAGACTGCTCTACTACACATTCTAGAGGCGAGCTCCAGAGCCACACATCAGAGAGAGGGCTTCCACAGGTTCACCTGGACACACATTATAACCAGCAGGGGGACATGGCCCTCACGGTCATACATGGTCAACACCCACATGGTCATCACATCTTTGCTTCTTGAGATGTGTCCTTCATGTCACTCAGAAGCTGTGTGGCCACCACCACCCAAGAAGGGATGGCAGGGATGGGCGCCAATAGATGCTATCACTGCCACAGCCACCACTGTGACCCCTGGAATGGAGCAGCAGCCTGGTCTCCATGCACGTAAAGTATGTGCTTGTTGGAAGGCTTGATGGGAGCGAGTGGCGGGGAGGGGTCGTGCCATAATTGTGTTGGCTACGGTTTAAGCTGTGACTTGGCCAGTCACACCCAGTCCCCACTGAACACCGGCCTCCAGCATCTCTAACATGGAGCTCTGACTCCAGGCTCTGTAATGAACACAGTGGACCAGGTATGTCCCTCCTCCCCGCTGACCTGGGAGATGAGTAGGGGCATCCTTCTGCTGTGACAGTAAGTGGGTCACTGAGCCCTTCCTGGCCAGAATCCCGCCAGCTTGCCGGAGCGCACACATGTCACCCAAGCACACGTGTGATGCTTCCGTTCCAGTAGCACCCATTTTTCCGTCATGTTTCTCTGCTCACACACACGCCCTGCGCTTTAGATCGTTTGTGCTGCCCGCCTTGTTTTCCTTTATCCCCCTCCCACCACTGTCCTGTTCGAGCAGTGTCCCTGAAGGACACCATAAATGCCTTAAAGCAGCCAGACAAGCAGGTCCAAATACTGTCCTGCCCTTGCTCTTGTGGGGAGCTTAGACTCAGCACTGGACCCCACCCCTGTGTTTGAGGCTCACACACACACGGCCATGCCTCACTTACCATCACCCGCGAGTCCTCCACGAATGCATTGGTGGAGGAGGGTGGACCTGAGTGCACGTCCGGCAGCAGATGGTTGGACTTCACTCTGTGGGATGGCGGGGGGAAGGGGAGACACTCATCAGCAAGGACAGGCGCTGCTTCCTGGAGGGGATGCTGATGGCTGCTGGAAACCACAGGCCACGGCATCACACAGCCTCCTTGCCGCCCTTTCCCCTCAGGTCCACCGCACGGTGGGAGACCCCGGGAGGGCAGGGGAGGAGCACCTAAAGGGAGAGCTTCAGGAGCAGCAGGGGGTGTCAACAACAAGGAGTGTCCCTGCAGATCAGGAGGGGATTTGGGGAGAGGCCCTGGGTTTGGAAGGGAAGAGATGTTCAGGAATTACCAAGAGCAATGTTGGGGATGTAGGTCGTGGGACACTCAGATAACTGAACCGTGCAAGTGGATTGAACCGTGTCCACCAACGACCTCACATCGCTGTAAGGGGGGGTTTCAGATGCAGCGACTCTAGCAGCTCAAGGTGTCATCACCTGAGACCAGGGTCAGCCCGACGACCGCATCCGTGCAAGAAGACAGGCCCTCAGCCCGACGGCCGCGTCCGTGCAAGAGGGCAGGCAGGCCCTCATGGTTCGTTAATTTTCAATCATTCTTGCCAGAAAGGGGCAAAATGGGAAAATTGAAGAGACAAAGGGAAAGCAGCATCAGGTACGAGCCAGGGAGAGAAGCCAAGCGCAGGTCCTGTGACTGGGGACACGTCGAGGTGAGGCCGGCTCCAGCCTCCAGAGCAGTGAGACAGTACGTTTCTGCTTTTTAAGCCAGCTGTTTTGTGGTCCTTCGTCAGGGCAGCCCTGGCAGATGGAGGCCCTCCCCCTAACGTGAGCACATTTCTCGTTTCTCTGTGTTCCGAGGTGACTCTCCACACTGGTACGATTTCAAAGTGGAGACCAAGTGCACGTTTTAAAATGTGTGCTCACCCTGGGTCGTGACCTTCATAATGGGCCACTTTCTGCTTCTGTGACTTTGCAGGGGTGCACTTTGGGTGCGTGTGCGCGTGCAGGGCTGTCCTCTGTGTGATTCCTCGCGGGCTCAGAATGAGCAGGCATGGCTCAGGAGCGACGGGCAACTACGTATTATCGGAGGTCACAGAAAGGAGGCTGGGACCTGCTCCCCACACGTTCTCCGACCGACACACAGAAGATATGAGCGCTGCCGCTGCCGTGCTGCTTGAGATGCGAGTCGTCCGCAGGGAGACAATTACTGCATTTCCCCAAGCACGTGGAGCGCAAGAGGTCCCTGCGTAGCTGTACGTGGCACTGCTACGCGAAACAGCGATATTTCCTACTGTGTTGTCACATGATTTCAAAATACCCCATCAGACGTGAGTCACTTTCCAAAGCACTCGGCTTAAGAGCGCGTAGCCGTTTTCATTCAGAGAGAAGCAGTCCGGGAAGCTTACAACCTACCTGTGTGAGGGTGATTGCAGGTCACCCGTGGCTGCCTGTGGGAGTAAAGGAAAAAGGAGAAGAAATCGTTGGTACTGAGGCTTGTTCGTAGCAAATCAAGTCCGTCATTAGTTTCAGGTGCGTGTGGCTCAGGGCCTTCCCAGGAAGGGGTCTCTGCGTGGGGGTCGCCGTGTCAGAGGTTAGGAACACACTGAAGATCTTAGGAAACTGTCGAACTACTTTCCACGGTGGTGTCACCGGAAGCCCCCGACGACTTCGCACGGCTACCTGCGGGCCGCCGGTCCCTCCGTGTCTCCCGCTCCCGGTGCCGGTAGCCTTTCTGAGGGAGCCGTTCCAGCCGTCTTACCGTGGCTTTAGTTGCACTTGCCTAGTGGTGGATGATGTGGAACATCTCGTCAGGTGATTATCTGCCACCCATATAGCCTATTTGGTGAAGTTAATTAGAATCTTTTCTCCATTTTAAAAATGGGGCCGTGGGGCACCTGGGTGGCGCAGTCGGTTAAGCGTCCGACTTCAGCCAGGTCACGATCTCGCGGTCCGTGAGTTCGAGCCCCGTGTCAGGCTCTGGGCTGATGGCTCAGAGCCTGGAGCCTGTTTCCGATTCTGTGTCTCCCTCA